AAAAGTTTTGAGCCACTTACCTACTTTAACAAGGTCAGGTGAGTCCTTGCTTTTAAACAGAAATGTGCATACATTAACACCAGTTCTCTCGCTTAGCAAAAAGGGGCTATTATTCCATCCCTCTGCAACTCTCATTCCGATCTCGCTAAACCCCACAAACTTCCTCAAAGTACTGTTGAACTGTGTGAATAGAAATTGATTTAAATAAAAGCTGTCAATATACACCATGTCACTGAAATCGGGAGAGCTGTAGATGCATCTTGACTGTCTTATGTAATAGTCATCAGCTGAAAAAGAGGCAGAACAAAAATCACACTTTTGTCAGATAAATATAAAAGCTCCTCTCTTTTTTTCTTGTTGTCATACGTTTATAAGTAATACACAGGGAAAGATGAATCTGTGGCGTACGGTCATATGTCAAATGATGCTGTCCACAAACAGTTTAAGTAATATATTATAGAGAATCCATCCTCAGAGGACAATCAAACATGTCACTCTTCTAAAAAACATATATCATTTAAATCATTTACATCTACTACTACTAATGCAGTTATTGTTGATATGCAATTGTATTACTCTCATCTTACCACTTTTTGCTCCAGTCAGTACAGACAGTGTCAAAATGAGATGACAACTCAAGTACTGTAGCAGTGACATTTCCACAAGCACTGAATCCCAGCTGCATGTTGCCAGTGCTTTAGTTCATGTCAGGGGGATGTTTAAGCTGACTGTCCAACCAGTTACTCCAGGTGTAAATATCAAATGTTACTAGGTAGTATCCTGCTTTCAATTATCATCTCAAACACCATCCAAATATCAATTTATATAAAGCTGGTGTGGATTTTTTCCCCCTTCTTTTTTCTTACAGAAACTATTGAACGCTTGAAAAACCTTGGTAACTTTATTAAAAAATACTGTATAATGTTAGTGACTAACACACTAAGGTAGAATACAGTGACTTTTAGGCCTCCCTAAAAGTTGACCTGACAGACTGATTATTAACCGTTAACAAAACGATGTTGTTAAATTAGATTTAAACTAAATGAGAAAATACCTTTTTTTTTCTTCAGGGGTTTAATGCATGCGCAAATAGCAGCACAAACAACAGAACATGATGAGGATTCACACATCGTCACATCACACAC